TATTACAACTACAGATTTTTAGCTAACTTTTGATAGATAATTTCTGTAAGTACGGTTCTCAAAATGTCACATGCTTCAAAGTTTAAACTAAGACATTTCTCCTCAGGTTCTGGGAGACAAARTTCTAATCTCATCAGAAAAGCGGTGATGACAGGAGGAAAACTGAGGGCCAAAATTACAGCTAATGTCTAAAATCTATGATTAWACATTTATAGGGCTTATGGTTGGCTGTGGCAGAGTGATTAGGGGAGTCATCCTGGAACCATTTGCTGGTTCAATCCCCCGTCCAGCTGTCTCAGTTGTTGTGTCCTTGGGCAAGACACTTCACCCCTAATGCCTCTGATGTGTGTCCCATCAGTGTATGAATGTGATTGGCACTGATTAGTCTCCATAGTTGATTGTACATGTTAGTTTTGTAGAAATCTRGTAGAGTGCTGTGTGAATGGATAAATGAGGACACAGATTATAGTGTGAAGAGCTTTGAGTGTCCTGGATGGATAGAAAAGTGCTATATAAGTASAGTCCATTTACCATAGGTCATATGCTATAAACCCTGTGGTACAGCCTAAGATTTGATCTTTAATGGCCTTTTTTATAGTGTTCATTACTTTTACTTTTATACTTTAAGTAGTTTTAAAACCAGTACTTTTAAACTTTTACTTGAGTAAAAAACTCGAGTTGATACTTCTACTTCCAAAAAAGTATTTTTAAACCCTAGTATCTATACTTCTACTTAAGTAATGAATGTGAATACTTTTGACACCTCTGCCTATTAGCGTAATTATTTAATTTTAAGATTAAACTGATTTAGTTGATGTGCAATCTGCATTGAGTGGCTTATTATGTCAGCTCAAACAGAATGTACTCTACTCAGTCTGATTAGTTAACACATGCGTGCCATTCACCACAACACTCCAACATATGGTTTTTCTCTCATTAGTTTGTAGATTTTTGTTGAAGTATCTGGTCACGAGATAGGAAAGCCTGCCCAATCAACAGGACATCTTTCTTACATGTTGTTAATCCTCAGATCAAAGTATATTTGTTTGATGTTTGATGATCATTCTACACTCTTCCATGTAGGACCTGCAGATGTCCTTCTTTACCAACATTTTCTAACAAGTTCATCAACAAGCATTTATCTGTAGGTCTTTGAATGTTGGATGTACATCACCAAAAGCCTGTCATTATAAAAATAAAAGGTAAAAAAACCCTCAGAAACAGGCTGTTATATTTATTTCTTTCATTTGAACAGTTTTTCCACATGCAGGCTAACCATGATAGCAACATATACTGTATGAAGCCTGGAAACCGCTGGTAACAAAGTACCAACTCAACATGAGAGAGAACCAAAAGAACACACACAGAGTTGTGTAACATAAAAAAGGCAAACATGAGATTTTATTATTTTCTTATTGTCCTTATGTCCATGTTTTGTTCTTTGAGCTTGACTTCGATAAAACAGTCCTGTCAACATGGTTCATGAGCTGCTTGCAGTGTGAGTGTGTGTGTGTGTGTGTGCACGTTTGATACCCGGTAGGGACAAAACCCAGTCCACATTAGGGGAAATATCGTTGATGGCTGAGGGGTTAGGACTAACGTGTGACTTGAGTTTAGGTTAGSTTTAGGGGTAGGGGGTCAGGGTTAGGCTCAATGCAATGTCCCCATGAGGATAGAAGAACAAACGTGCATGTGTGTGTGTGCAGACAGCTACAGAAGAATGTGCTCCTTCACAATCTGGGAAACTGTGACATTGTGGCTTTGGGCCAGAGAATCAGGACCTTCATTCTGTAACTGGAGCCTGAAACTTACATTAGTTGGGAAGTCAAAGAAACAAATTCAGCAAAAAGACCAGCAGCTGCACACATCTACATCCATCAGTCAGTGCAGATGTGTTGCTACCAGCAGCAGAACATTCAGGCTTTGTACAATTCTTTTATTATTCACTCAACTATAAAAAAAAAAAAAAAAACTCAGAAATAACAGATATGGATTATATTTATACATTAAACTTGTTTTCTAGGAAATATCCACAGTAACACATTGGGCTAACGTAACAGTCCTAAAATATTTATTATGTACTTTAACATTTCTTTAATTCATTGATCAGAGAATAAATAAGGTCTCCTCTCTGTAAGATGCAAAATGTTTTACCTGATAAACTGGAAACCATTTGAAAAACTAAAATAATATCTGTAGAAAATTTAAAGGGTGCCAGTGCCACTGGAGCCCAACATCCATCCAGCCGTTTCTGAGGGCGGGGCTAATCTCTAGCAGTCGCCATGCAAGGCTAACATTCCAACACAACTTTGTAATAATCTAAACTAAGAATAAAATACCTACATTTTGAGTAAAGAGCCAAAATCAAATGTAATGTTACAGCTGCTGCCAGCAATGCATTATGATCAACATGGTAAGCACACACCTGCGTCTGTCACTCAGTTTAAAAAGCTGATGATTCAGACGGGAACAGACTGAAAGGTAAGCCTCGCTGTGCAGAGACAAGTCTTTAATGATGAGCAGAAGGCTCTGACGCGCATTCAGGTGAAGTTTTATGTTTCCCGAGTTTTATCTATGAGGTGCGATGAGTAAAAATAAATCCCTTCATTTCCAGTTTTGATGAGAATTTTTTGAGCTAAAATATAACTAAAACCTACAGAAACCTGAGCGCTCTTTAAATCCTGCAGGAATTGGGGGATAAAATCCTAAGTCCTACAGYGGTGAGGGACACTGGGTGGGAGAAGACAATATATGACTTACATTGTGATGTAAAATTTAAATGTACCAATAAAGTTGTGGCAGTAGTTTTACACATTTGACAAGCTGATGTGTGTCATTATCAGTTAAACATTCTGTGGAAAAAGAGAWCAAGTTTCATCAACATCACAAGATCTCAAAAGGTCAGTTCAGACACGTAAAAACCAATTTACTCTGACCTATCTCAGCTGAAGGTTTGTTCTGTAAAGCATGGCTGAGTCAGACACTCTGCCTTCAGGACTGGTTTAATCCTTCATGTCAGGCGTTGGAAACATTCCTGAGCTTCTGCTCCATACCGACATGACACAGCTGAACATCCATGAAGTGTCTCTCCTGATCCAGCCCATCCTAAAGGTGCTGGACTGGACTGAGACCTGRTGACTGTGGAAACCATTGGAGTCCAGTGGATTAAGACTCAGAGATGTTTTTCTAAACTCTTCTTGTCCAGTTTTAGTGTGTGAACTGTAGCCTCAGTTTCTTGTTCTTGGCTGACACAAATGGAACRTGCTGTGGCTTTCTGAGCTACTATTGCCTTTCTATCATCTCCAACCAATCTGCTCATTCTCCTTTACATCATTAATGTCATTTTATCCACACAAATACTGCCTTAGACCATCCTCTGTAAACCAAAGAATAGTTGTGTATAATAATCCCGGCAGATCAGCAGGTTCTGAAAAACTCAGACCAGCCTGTCTGACTCCAACATCCAGGTCTTATTCAGTCACCAACTTTCCCCTTTGGTCCACGTTCTGGGCACCAGAACGTACCTGCACACATCTAGATCCCTAAGGGCATGGAGTTGCTGCCATGTGATTGGCTGAACAGTTGTTTGTGTTCAGCAGTTGAACGGGTGGACCTAAAAAAGTGGACTGAGTAAGATTGAAAAACCTGAACTCAGTTATTTGTCTGACTCAATAATTTCCACTTGCGCAGGACCACTGAACACACAAGTGTTCTCAGAGTATCTGAGAGAAAATGAAGAACACATGAAAACACTGAGTGACCGGCAGGATCTCTGTCCTGCTGGCAACAGCAGCAATATACAGAAGACAGAACTATCATCATTTATATACATGTATATGTATATATGTAAATGTAGATGATAAATATCAGCATATTTGAGGTACAAACTTAGAAACAACCTGTAAAGGCATGTCAACTCTGACTTCTTACATCATCAGTTCATGCATAGAGGAACTAGACCAGAAACACAAAGGCTACATAAAATACTGATACTGTGCTGTGGGGAGGCATGTTAAAATATTAAAATCTCACTTGTTTTAAAAGAAAATAATGAGAAAAAACGGAATAAAACCCCAAATCTGAAGTTTGAACACATTTGATCTACATGTCTCATTCCTGGTTAGGTTTCAGATACAGCTGAACTGAACATGAGCCAGAACGAGACCTGGTGGCAGAACAGGACACTCACATTCAGTCAGGTTGAGAACATGAAATAAACATGGGCACATTTTTTCTATTTGTTTTTTTTTTTAATTCCAGGTCATGTTTCAGTCCTCGTCCTTTCCTCTTCTGTGTACTTTACTCTCCTCATCCCGTTTCCAAATGAGGCTGGACTGAGAACAGCAGTGCACGGAGTGTGCATGTGTGTAAAATTCAAAGAGTGCTGCATTCTGAGAGAGAAACATCTACATGTCCGTGTTTACTTGTGGAATCTCTGCAGGTAAAGATTAGAGTCGTCGAACAGCGGGTTCTTCACCTCCATTTCTCCGGTCTAAATGTGAAGAAAAAACATCAGAAATTCAGTTTTAGGAAACAAGAAGGGAAACATGTAGAAATACCATTCTATTCAGAAAGACAGGACTCTTCCTCCAAAAACAAAACACTTATGACCAAATAATATGAAATCTGGTTTTTATTTGAATTTTGAACAAATACCTTCACAAGTATAAATTTGAAAATGGATGTGAAGATTCAATAATACTCTCACATTTTACCAAGCTCCTGCAGTTCACTGGCAAGAAACACAATCTGTCAGAATCTAAAAAATATTCACCTGAAATTTATACAAGATTTTTGTCCAACACAGACAGTGAAAACAAACTACATTGCTTGGCCAAACACAAGTCTCCACCTGGATTTAACTAAGCAAACAGGTACGAGCCTCCTATTGGATAATTACTGCAGAGCTGATTATCTTTCAGCTGTTAGTTATTTAACCCAACTGGAGCAATGAGTTGTTTCTCATTTCTTAAACAACCAAAGACACGTCCTGTGGTAGTGGAGAAGATGTCAGTCTGTTTGAGAAGAGTCAAATCATTGATTAACAGAAAAAAAGGCTTCAGTTTGTTAGGGAGCATAAAGGTTGGACTCTGGAGCAATGGAAGCAGGTCAGGTGGTCTGAGTCCAGACTGACCCTGTTCCAGAGTGATGGGTGCATCAGGGTAAGAAGAGAGGCAGGTGAAGTGATGCTCCCATCATAGTGTCTACTGTACAAACCTGTGGAGGCAGTGCTGTGATGTGAGGTCGCTGCAGGTGGTCAGGTCTAGGTTCAACAACAATCTGTGCTCCAAGAATGAGGTCAGCTAACTATCTGAATATACAGTACCGAATGAACAAGTTCAATCAATATTCCATCAATGATTGTTTCTTCCCTGATGGCACAGCCATTTTCCAAGATGACAATGCCAGGATTCATTGGGCTGGAATTGTGACCGAGTGGTTCAGGGAGCATGAGACATCATTTTCACACATGGATTGGCTCCACAGAGTCACTGAGAATCTTTAAGATGTGCTGGAGAAGGTCAGACTCTACCATCATCAATGCAAGATCTTGGTGAAAAATTAATGCAACACTGGATGTGGATTTTGTCTAATCCATACTGGCAATCTCATGTGGATTACAGAAACCCATAAAAATCAAAGTTGTGTAACAATTCATGTTTTTAAAAACCAATTAAAATTAGATGTTATACCCTGATGCATCTCAGTAAACAAGGTAAAAAATCAAAAAGAAAAAAATTGTATAGGTCCTCTGGACGGGTTCTTCTCTAATGAAACGTTTCGTCTCTCCTCCAAGAGACTTCTTCGGTCTGAGAGTTTCAAGCTAAATTCAGGCTTTTAAAGAGTAACTTACCCCCAAATCAACTTTTTTTAGCTGATAAAC